CGATGGTCGTCTCCCGCAGCCGCTCCGTGGGGATGTCAAAGGCGAAGGACTCGTTGAAGACGGGGTTCAGGCACCTCTTCATGACCACCGTCTTCTTCTTCTCCACCCGTTTGTCCTTGTACATCAGCCACACCTTCACGTAGGGGTCTGGGAGGGGGAGAGGGAGCTCAGCGCCCGGCTGGGCTTCGAGGGGAGGTGATGCCCAGAGCGGCAGGGGGGCGAGGGGAGGTGATGCCCAGAGCGGCAGGAGCCCCGGGTGGTACCTGACGTGCCCCCGATGTCCATGGCTTTGAGGTTGCGGGCTTTGATGATGTTCACCACGATGGAGTTGGCCGAGGGGTTGTAGCACAGAGACAGCAGCAGCTCCCCGCGGCTTCCCTGTGGGACCCGTGGAGGTGCTTAGGTGGGTGCCCAAAAACACCCCCTCCTCTCCCTGGCACCCAAAGCGCCCCCCCAAAAGCTGGGCTGGCACCTCCCAGCGCTGCCCCAAGAGGTATTTGGGGGTTGCATAGAAAAATAGGGCAGGAGGGAACGGGGTTGTCCCCAGTGGGATGTTTTCTGGTCTTGCTGGAGGCAGAAGAAAAAGAGGACTTTCGTTTTAAATCTGTTTTGACCCAAAATGAGGCACTTTGGACTACTTAGCGCCTTCAATATCAAGATATTTAAATATAAAGACAGGCTTTAATATCAAGATTTGGGAAGAGAAACCTCCCCAGCAGATGACAGACTTTCCCACCAAGCAGAAAACGTCCCCATCGAGGGGGACAAGAGGGTGGTGGCCCCACGGGGGGACACCTCAGGGACAGGGTTCGCCCTCGAGGACCATCCCCAGAGGGTGGGGAGGGGACCAGGTCCTTACGCTGCCATCGCTGCAGGGCTTCAGGTCCTTCCAGAAGGTCTGCATCTGGGTGAGGTCCACCTTGTTGAGGGGGATGGAGACCTCCCCGATGGGGTCGTTGCGGCTGAAGCGGTCGTAGTCCAGGACCTGGAGGTACAGCACCCGCTGCACCACCTTCTCGTAGGGGAACCCTGTGCCAGAGATAGAGGGCATGAGGAGCTCTGCTGGCCGTGCCAAGCAGTGCCAGTGCCACCTTGCCTTGCCCAGGTCGATGGGGAGATGTTGGCACCAGGCAGATGACAGCACGGGGACACCTCGTGTGACTTTGGGCCACCACCATTTTTCCCCCCCCGTGTGCCTGCTGGGAGGGAAAGGAGCTTCAAGCAAACACCTCCAACCTGACCTTCACACCTTGGCCAACCCACCTCATCACTGCTGGCCACCATGCTGGCACCTCGAGCTGAGCTCATCCAGCTCAGGAGAGAGGCCAGAGGATCCCACAACCACCCCGACCCCATCCCACCCCTACCTTCGAAGAGGAAGGTCTCGTTCCAATGCGGGTTGAGGTTCTTCCTCTTCACCTTGGTCTCCAGCTTGTGCTTCTTGTCGGGGAGCAGGTAGATCTTGACAAAGGGGTCGCTGGTGCCACTGAAGTCCTTGGCTGGCAGCTCCTGAGCCTTCATGATCTTGACGGTGAGGGTGGACTCCTGGAAGTTGTAGCCCACGCTGAACTGGATGCGGCCCAGGTTCTCCCGGCTGATGCCATCGTGGCCCTCATCATCCTCGGAGCCCGGGGAGAGCTGTGGCAGGGAGGGGGGGAGGAAGGCAATGAGCCACTTTCCCAGTTTCCCCAGTTTCAGCACCCATGAGGAGCCCGGGGAGAGCTGTGGCAGGGAGGGGGGGAGGGAGGAAATGAGCCAA